TATGTAGATTAGACAGGAGTTTTAAGTAGCCAATACATCAGTAATTTCCTTCTTCTTTTGTACTCTTGAATCAGAAGGGTATTTCTCACTCCAAAAGTACATAATTTTTTACCTGTGTTTTTTCTATTCTCTCTTGTTTTTTACACTTATATTTTTAAGCCATCTGGAATTTATTTGATATGTAGTGTGAGTTAGGGATCTAATATTTTTCTAACTTATTAATGAGTGGTATCATTAACATTTGGACTGAATCATCTATATTCTTCCTATTTATTTGAAATGCCTTCTTCACCATACTCCTTACATATACTTGAGCTCTTCTGTTAATTACATTTTTGTAGTTTTCCCAAGCCCTAAATCCTCTAATAGCTAGCTACTATTTTATCTGCCCAGATTAAAAGTTCTTATTTCATTGATCCCTCAAGCTTTTAGAATAATGGCTGCTACTTTTAGTAGAAAGAACAAGGTCTATTTACTTACTTTGAAGGTGTGGTAAAGGAGAAAATTTTTCCCTGGATCATAGAATTTCAGTTCTGAAAAACCTAAAGGCCATCTGTTTTAATCCCCTAATTTTACATGGGAGTGCTAAAAATATAAGTTGACTTGTTTATGGTTAACACGGGTAGCTGTGCAGAGCTGAAGCTAGAACCAAAGCTAGAATGGAGAGGTGAGAAGAAAACCAACCCATATTCCCCTAAAACCCTGCTGACTGATGATGGTCACAGTGAGGGTTGATCAAGGACAGAGAAAGTATAATTAAGGAAAAGATGGCCCTTTTAGATCTCCAGCTAACAACTTTGAGGGAGATGAGAAGTTTCTGGAGCACCAAGTTGAGGGGAGAGTTAAATATATGGATGTGTTCGCTGTTAACTAAATCCTTAGAAAACAGCATAAAAAGGAAACAGCACAGACATACTAAATAGTGAGCACAAAAGTACACATGTGCACTCAATAGTAGCAGCTTGCCGAACATTGAGCTTTCAGAGAGAAGTTTCAGACATTTCTCAGTAATGCCACTTTCCCACTGGTTAACTCTGTAAGGTTATTTAGGTCAGACGCCAGCAAGCGCAGGCAGCTGAGAGACAGGAAATGTGTGGTGCTGAGAGCACAGCAAAAGAGAAAAGCTTTTTATAGCCAAGGCCTGGGAGGAAACACTGATCATCTGAGGAGGGCTGTGCATATGTTTGTGTTTTCTTTTCTCTATTAGAGAAAACTCTCAAACTATGTTCTTTAAAAGCCACCCAGGCTCTCTCCAACCCCTCCCACCTCGGGGAAATCCATTCCCCGGCAGACAACCTTCCATCTGAGAGCAGGTGAAGTTTTAAAACTATGTTTCATTTCCTAAAGATATTTTGTACTTGAATTCCAGATTAAATTTAGGAATTTAATAGGAAATACAGTCATATGGTTTAAAATTCAAAAGATGCCAAAGGATACACAGTGAGAAATTTCCCTCCCAGCCCTGGCCCTCAGCTACCTCATTCCCTATCCTTGGGAAAACCAAGTTCTTGTATACCCTCACAAAGTTATTTTAGACAAATTTAAATATGAAGGAGTACACACATTCTTGTGTGAAAATTTTTACACAAAGGGTAGCATATTTCACACACTGTTCTGCACTTCAATATTTTTAACTTATAATACATCTTGGGTATATTTTGTATCTGTATATTGAGTTACCTAATTCTTTGTTACAGCTGCATTTCATTTTACTCTCCTATATGAATAAAACATATTTTATTTAACCAGTTCCCCTACAGAGAGACATTTATCATCCAAATTTCACCATTTTACACAATCCTGCAATTAATATATTCTTTTACACATCAGCAAATTTATATCAAGAATAAAGTCCTAGAAGGGGAAATATAAGGTACAGGAACACATAATTTTGACAAAAATTGCTAAATTTCCCCTATTATACATGGTACCAATTTACAGCCCTCCCAGTAATGTAGAAAGTGCCTGTTTCCTCACACCTTTGCCAATGTAGTATATATTACCAGCTTTTTTTTAACCTTTATTAATGTGATAGGTGAACAATAGTATCTCAGTATATTTTTAATTTGTATTTCTCTTATTATGAGTGAGATTGAGAATCTTTTCATTTATTTAAGAATCATTTCATTTATTTATATTTCTTTCCTATGAACTGTTTATACCCTTTAGTCTTTTTCATCTAGTTGTGTTAATGATCTTTTTCTTATTGGTTTATAAGAGCTTTTTATATAGTAAAGCAACTAGAGATTTATCTGTGGTTTTAGTACCATTCATTTTCCTCAATTTGTTGTTTGTCTTTTAACTTTACCATTGGCATTTTAGAAATCCTTTTATTTTATGGCTTCTGTGTTTTCTGTCAGACTTTCCCAATTAAAGATTCAAAAAAATATATTCTATGGCTTTTTCTTTATACATTTCTGGTTTGTTTTTTACTTTTGAATCTTTGATCCATCTAAAGTTTATCTTGGTCTAAAGTTTTAGGTTTGGGTCAGTTTTTTTTTTTCCCAGATGGCTAACCAGTTATTCTAACACTATTTTTATTAAATTATCTTTCTTTTCTCTATTGATTTGAAATACTATCTTTTAAAATCTATATTTTCAAGGTAGTCACATATTATACTTTATAATAAAACTTCTTTTGCAACAACTGTCCTCAAAATCTTTAGAAATCTGATAATGATTTTATATTATTCTCTAAAAATCACTGGAAAATCACATTTTTATAATTTTCTTTCCTTTATTTCTCTCTCTTCTCTGCTTTAAAATGTTATACTCAGTCATATCAAAAACCATAGGAATAGAGGGAAATTTCCTCAGACTGATAAAGAATATCTACAAAAATTCTGCAACTAACATTATACTTAATGAGGAGAAACTAAAACCTTTCTGACTAAGATCAGGAAAAAGGTAAGGATGTCCCCTCTCATTTCTCCTTCTCAACAACATGCTGGGGATAAGAAAAGGAAATAAAATGTATATGGATCAGGAAGGAAGAAATAAAACTACCTTTGCTCACAGATGACATGATCATCTCTGTGTAAAACCTGAAAGAACTGAACAATAAAAATTCCTAAAAGTAGTAAGTGATTATAACAAGGTTACAGATACAATGTTTTTATACAGAAGACAATTTTTTTCTGTATACCAACAATGAATAAGTGTACTTAAAATTTAAAACACAATACCATTTAAAGTAACACCCCTCAAAGTTAAATATTTAGGTATAAACCTAATAAAATATGTACAAGGTCTTTATGAGGAAAACTAAAAAACTCTGATGAATGAAATCAAAGAACTAAATAAATAGAAAGCTATTCCATATTCATGGATAAGAAGGCTCAGTATTATTAAGATGCCAGATCTTCCCACTTTATCTATAGATTCAGTACAATCCCACATAAAATCCTAACAAGTTATTTTGTGGATATTGACAAACTGATTTTTAAGTTTATACAGAGACCCAGAATAGCCACCATAATATTGAAGGAGAACCAAATTGGAGGACAGACATACTATCTGACTTCAAGACTTGCTATAAAGCTACAGTAGTCAAAATAGTGTGATATTGGTGAAAGAACAGATAAATGAATCAGTGGAACAGAATATAGAGCCTAGAAATAGACCTACATAAATCAAGTCAGCTCGTTTTGATAAAGGAGCAAAAGCAATACAATAAATGCTGCCTGAACAACTGTACATCCAGTTGTACATTATACATCACACATTTGTGATAACCCATAGAATGTAAACAAAGAATGAACTCTAATATAAGCTACAGACTGTGTGTGATTATGATGTGTCAATGTAGTTTCATCAACTATAACATATTCAGCACTCTGGTGGGGATGTTGATAATGGAAGGTTCTATGAATGTCTGGGAGCAGGGGGTTTATGGGAAATCTCTGTGCCTTCCTCTCAATTTTGCTGTATATCTAAAACTGCTCTAAAAAATACTGTTTATTTTTAAAAAGTTAAACTCTGCAAGCCAGGTCCTCCTCTAAACCTCTCTCCCATTCTTAGCATCAGCATTTCTGCTTTCCCAGACAGATATTACCCCTACTTTTAGGATGATGTGTGCTGCTTCTTTCCCTTTAGGAAGAAATTGCAAATTTTTCCCCTTCCCATCATCCTCCACCATAAATCATCGCTCTCATTCAAGTGGGCCTAGGTGGCCATAAAGATAAGACTGGAGTTTCAGAGAAGGGCAGCGGTCTTAGTATAGAATCAGAGGTTATCTGCATGGAGGTGGCTGCTGAAGCCCAGAGAGTGTTGATTTACAAGGAAGAATGTGTATAGGAAGAGCAGTGATGCATGCTGAATCTTGAATCACATCAATTAAGAAAAGTGTGAAGAAAGAGCTGGAGGAGAAACTACAGAAGTAATGAAGAATAAAAGAGGAAGACTGGAGAGTTTCTGAGGAGGGGCCAAATCACACAGGAATGTCAGTCAACAAGGTTGAGGATAAGGAAAAGACTAATGGATCTGGTGGCAGGGAGATCATAGCTGCTGTTTAGAGCAGGTCACTTTCCATATTCCAATCCATCTTCCCCTCCCATCTCAGTTGCTTCCTCTTCTGAGTAGACAGAATTGCAGTCAGCACATCAACACTCCCAACAGAATAATTAGGAAAGCCAAATAAAACGCAGAAATTATCTCTTTGAAGGAAGCCTAGAGCTGCTGAGGCAAGGAAAACTGGAAGAGCTAAAGCATTGGAAAGGGGAAGAACTTGAAAGAGCTGCTTCGGTAGCCACCTTTCCATTGAGAGCATTTGCAGGAGGCTGGGAATCCCGTGGTGAGATGCAGTGCAAAGTCTGGCAGAGGGCTGCTGAGGAGGGAGGGAAACCGGCAGTTTTGGTGAAAGACTAGGGAGGGCCTCAGGCATATGGGCTGCTTTCCTCTGAGAATGTTTGCCAACTACTGGGGCTGCTCAGAGGATGGGTTTTTAAATGCAAGTGGGAAACCCTGCCTCTGAAAAGCAGAGTAAAGTTTTTCAGCAGTCTTGTAAGACTAAGATTAGAGTTTAGTACCCTCTGTGGGAGGTACCTTGCAGAATACAATGGGTTTTTTGTTGAAAGCCCAGGTTGAAGATGACATGGTGGGAGACTGAAATTTACCAGAGCTAAAATTCAATCTTGACTCAGCAAATCAGTAATTGGAGTAACATGGTCAGCCACCATTTTGTCTGTGCAATGGGAGCATGGTAAACCCTCTCTGAAATAACTTAACATCTGAAGTCTCTATGACTTAGTATACATAATGTTCAGCATTCAATTAAAATTTACTAGGCACGCCAAAAGGCAGGACCACATGGCTAAAAACTCAAGAGAAAGAGGACAGTATTGATTCAGATGTTGAAGTTATCTGACAAGAACTGACAATTAATTATCATTGTATGTTTAAAAGGAAAAGACAGACACATTGATGAAAAGATGGGATCCAGTGCTATCTCTTCCATGCAGCTTTCTTCAGTCTTCCATTCTGGAAGTCACCTTTTCCTCCTCCACATGATCCTGAAAGTTTGTCTATACTTAGTATTGCCACTTGCCACCTTACAAGTAGTACCTTGTAAGTGGTGAAAAGCATGGAGGTTCTGAGGACACACTGGGTTCAAATTCAAGATCAGCTACTTGCTAACTGCATAAACTTGGGTAAGTTACTTATCTTATTTGAACCTCAGTTTCTTTGTCTATAAAATGGAATCAATAATAGAATTAAATGATTCTGTTCCACTGGATTCCAGAGCCCCAGCCACTTGCCTCTGGTCCCATAGACCCCTTCCCTTTCATGGCAACTTCAGGCTTCTGCTGGGCCACCAACTTTCTCAGTACCTCTACTTCTCTTCACTGAGATGTCAAAGAATTACCACCTTGTCAGAACAGGTGTCCTCATTATGTACTATACTAGGTCCCAGTTCCTGACTTTCACAGGACTTTACTAAACTGGTAACTTTATGTTTTGAGAACATTCATTTAATGTTTCCTCCCATACAGCATTGTGATCTTTGTGGTGGTGGATCCTGTCCATCATTGGATTTTGCTCATCATTGTATTTCCAGTGCCTAACATAGCAGGTGCTCCATGGTTATTGCTAAATAATAAATGAGAAACCCTTAACTTCAGGGCCCTAAGATTGGAGAACATAGATGATCTTGACTCAAATCTTTTCCCATCCACATCAGAAACCTTTGTTAGTTTTCTACCTAACAGTCATTCTCCAAGGGTTCTTTGCTCTCAGAACACTGATTTTGTTTGATAGGTGAAATGCCTCGCCCAGAGACTAAATCATAAATTGGTACAAGTGGCAACCCAATTCCCTTTTGCCAGCAATGGATCTGAGTAGTTATGTCACATTTTTCTGGTTAATGAGCTAGAAAGGGACATCAAGGGGGCTTCGGAGAAAGATTTTTGTCCTTGATGGAAAAAAAGAAAAATATGAGGGGAGCTCTCTCTAGGGTCCTCTGCCCTACTCTTCACTTCTTAAATGCAGTGAGGTGAGGATGTTATGTTTGGAGCCATAGCAACTCTCTTGCAGCCAGGATGGAAAGGCCTGGAGAAATGCCAGAATGACTTCACCAAACTTCTGCACCAACCTTGGAACTACCGCCAGACTTCCTGTTATGTGAGGTCATAAATGCCTTCATTATTTAGGCTACTATTATTTGAATTTTATATTTTATAAGCCAAATTATTTTTTCTAACTGATACTTGTGAAACAAATCCAATTTCACATGCATTCTGCAACCTAAAACTAGGTATGCTTAAATGGCATCATATAGTATATTTTCAAGAATATATGTCTAACATGTACAGATGGATTGGAAGGATATACAGAAGTTCAAGTCTATACCTATGGTGGACAAGGGAATGGGGATGAGAAGTGGTTATCTTGATTGTGGTAACAGTTGCACAGGTATGTATATATGTCAAAACTTATAGTGTGCACTTTAAACATGTGCAGTTCTGTGTATGTAACTATACCTCAGTGGACAAGATGGAGAGAGAGTAACTGTGGTGCAAGAACTGATGAGTGATTAACTCCATTGCGTTCTCCTGAGGTCCAAATAAAATAAAATAGGAATACATATGACCAGTGGCTAAAGAACTCCAAGGGCTCTCAAATTTTAATGTGCATGAAGGTATGTGCTAAAAGAACACACTTATGGGCCTCACACTCAGAGATTCTGAATCTGCATTTTCAACAGACACCCTAGATGATTCTCCAGTAAGGGAGCCATGAGCCACACTTGGAGGCTGCACTAGGTAAAATCAGGCCACCAGGAGAATGAGGGAGAGAGTGAGCAGGGGCCCTGGCAGCAGAGCCTCCTCCCGGCACCAGCGGCAGGGCCAGGACCTCAAGCAGCTGGCCCTGTTAGCGTGGGCTGCTGTTCCTCCCCTGCCTTCCGTGAGAGCCAATCCTGGTGCACTTAGCCTGGAGGGCTCTGGGTGACAGAACAGACAACGGCCATCTGGGGAGTGCATCTGCAGACAGGAAGCCCCAGAGGCTTCTTCCAGGGGTGAGGTGGGCGAGGTGCCTTCAGCGGTCCTAAGCTCCACGTGATCAACCCCGCTCGCAGTCAGCTCCCTGAGGCTGGGTTGTGGGTTGAGAAGAAGTGGTCTCTGCAGAAAGTGAGAATGACATATGTGGTACGTTGTCAGATGTGAATGTTTGAGTCTGACCTGATGAGAGAATAGGCTGAACCATGTCTCAGCAAATCTCCCGCCAGCCCTTCCGGTGTACAGATGGTCCAGGATTTAAGCCACTGAGCTCAGTCATCCCTCCAGTGTCTGCTTTGCCCTTGTTTCCTTTGGTCCCTGCGTCTGGCCTATGCTGCACCGGCTGGACTGTTTTGTGGTGTAGTGTGCATGATGTGAAGGAGTCTTTAAATTGGGACTGCTGTGACTGTGGACAGGCAGAACTCCGTATTAAGCTCACCTTCAGAGATGTCTAATGGCACTCTCTCCAGCCACAGAGAAGTCTACCTCCTGGTGAATGGAATACTACCACTCCAGTCAAAAGTGGACTCTGGGCTCCTTTCTACCATTATTTATCCAGGCACTGTTCCCCTAATGGCCCAGAGCCCCAATGGGACCTTGGATTCACTGTCCCTTTCCTAATATGCAGAATGGCCTGGTTTCCTAAGGACAAGGAAGGTTTTTCAGATTTATACAAACAGACCAGGCATATTTGTGGGTATCCAGGTAACAAATCCAGTTTGAAACTCCTTTTGACAGCATAATTCATAGTCCCAGACAGAACTGCTAATGTGAACACAGGAACTCCAAGGAACCAGCTACAGTGGAAAAGATTAAGAAATGGTCCCAAATATAACACCTTCTACAAATCATTTGATTCTCCAACAGGTCTCTCTCACTGCAAATGTGAATATTCTCATATAAAGAAAAAAGAAAAGGGAGAAAGAAAAAGAGGGGCAGAGAATACAGAGATTATGTCACAAATATTTCAGGCTTGTTATATCTGCAGATACATCACGCTTATTAATAACCAGTAATGTTTCTTTTTCTGCTTAGGAGCTTCTTGAAGTCAGCTGTTGGATGCTGATTGTGTGTGATGTGTAAGCAAAAGTGTGCAAATCTGAGGATCCCTGTGCGTGTCTACAGGACTGGTCTCCCTGCGCTTGTTTGAATGAGACCCAGAGCAGCTGCAGCTCCGTGGTGCTGAAGAGCCTGGGCAGGCTGACAGCCATTCTTCTCTCTAAGTAATGTGTTTGCTTAAGCATGAGCATTAGTGTCAGAAGGGCTTAGTGCAAAGCAACTTTTCAGGGGTGAATCAGTCATTGCCAAGTCTATGCGTCTGGGAATTCCTTATGTCTATGCATCCACGGGTTAGGGATAGGGTCAGGCATCTCTTGTAGTTTCTAATGAAGTTGAAAAAATAAAACCAAGAGCACGATTATAAAATTATCTCTTGGGGATGAGTCCAGCTGTGAAAACTGCACTGTCTTGCCCTGGGAATGTCTTCCTGAGGGACTGAACAATAGCTCTTGTTATGTGGGGCATATCCTCTTGCCCTCATCAGCCCTGTCTTCTGAAATGAGTGAAATGAAAGTTATTTTATACCCAGCCTTGCACAAAGCTAATGTTCCTAATTAGTGGAAGATTTGCTTTTACGGTGGGAATCTGGTTGTAATCAGTAGTGTCCCATCTTTCAGAGATGAGGACACACCAGGGGCAGACTGTATTTTTTCTTGTCTTTCTCACAGTAGCAACGAGTGTGAACTGACCTGGCGATTCCTCTGTCTCTGTTGCCAGCATGGCCAGAAGGCACTCACTGCACAGGCAGCTGGCCAGTCCTGAGCTGGGGGCAGCTAACTGGGCCACACTGCCCTGGGCTCACAACCCGCTGACTGGCTCAGGAACATGGGGCTTTGCCATTAGAAAAGGCTACAACTAGGACACCCCGAAGATAGCATCTTTTGGACAGGTAATACACGGACCTGGTACAAATCAGGATGACCTCCCTCTGTCGTCTCCCACCTGGATCCGTGTCTATTGCCAGACTCCTGTGTAACACTTCCAACAGTGGCATACAATGGTGGTTAATGGGAGAGAGAGGGTACAGGCAATAAGAGGATGCCCTGCTTTGGAGAATTTAAAAACAGTAACAAAATTGACAAGTCAGTCTGCTGCTTATTATCACCAAGGCTGACAATTTAAGCAGTGTCAGTGATGAAATGCTCCTCCCTGAGAGCGCTACACAATGGCAGCCTCCTTGTTGTCCCTGACACAGGGGGGTTCAGGCACAGGTGCTCCCTTTGACAGTAAGTCTGTGACACGTTGGAATTACCCCAGCTCCCGTCAACACGTTTTGTGTCTCCAAACCCAGTGATACTATACATTCCTGCATTTAAACATCTTCGAAATTAAGCAATGATAGAAGCGACTGACTGAACGAAGAAACAGAACGTGGATTATTTCAATTGTATTTGACCACAAAGAGTTTGCATTGATGCTGAAAAGTGAAGACCATGAAACAGATGGCAAACTGTGTGGTGTCATATTTTTATGTGCAAATTCTAGGGCATCCATGAGCAATTCTACTGAATTTGAAGATCATTAAAATTAAAATGTATTCTTTATGAGAACTGTTCATTGTTTGACCCTGAGAGTGATGGTCCCCCTTGAGTCTGTGCCTTACCTGCCCATGTGCCTCGTACTATGGAAACCAAGCAGCGTATATGCTTAGTCCCTCTGAACTGCCACAGCCGGAGCTGTGACACTTGGCCTAAGCTTGGCTCACCATACGCAGCACAATTCCACCTGGAGTTCTGAATCCGGAACAAGTGACTCAGAGATGCTGAGACCGTTGAGAATCCATTCCCGTGGGAGTGGTGATGGCAGCACAGAGATGTCTAACCAGACCCTTTCCATCCTGTGATTTTTGGCTGTACATTTGGCCTTCTTACTTACCTTGAGTTTGGTTTGCTGGTCAAGCCTGATTCCCTGAGCTTGCAGCTGACTCTCTGAGCTCCCTGGTACCCTCCTGCTAGTGAATTCCTTCTCTGCTTGTTCCCAGAGGCGGTATATTTCTTCAGTCAAAAATTCATAATAGTATTTCTAATTCAGAGGAATATTTTGAAGATGAATTTTGAAGCCCATGACTCTTGGGTGCAGCAAAGAAGAGCCCTAAAACTGAGGAGCAGGGGCCTTATTGCTAATGTCAGAGCATATCCCCTAACTTGTCAAAGCCTATCTCACAGCCTAACCATCCAGATCTTAGTAGGTCCAGCAAGACGAAAACCAGGGACTCTCTTGATTAGAAAGACTTTCATAAAGTTTATGCCATTTGAAATAAATTAGAGGCAAGTGCCATTTTTAAAACATTTAATAAGAGTTGTGGTGAAGGCAAAAAAAAATTTAGAAATGATAGAAAAACAGAAGGTAACTTGTCAATAAAAATCTGAAAGCCGAGTTAAAAAATGTCTCACCCAACCATTTATTTTTGTTAATTGCTTTCTCTGCTCTAAATGCTCTTGGATTAAAGGAATGGAGAACTCATCCATAAGCCTCAGATAAACATTAATTCAATTGTATGACACAGGAATAGACAACATTCAGCAAAAGCATTCAATACAAACTCTACTTATTTCCAAAATGATTCTTATTGATCCCGTTCTTATATGCACTGTAGCTACAGCAAACACCTACCCTTGTGTTAACTTCTTTGACTTTTGAATAAGTTCTTCTAAATCACTAGACTGAGCCTTCCTCCTTTTTCCTATTGGGATAGTGACATCATCATGGGAAGTTTAAGTAAAAAAGTTTATGTCAAGCACCCTATACAGAGCCTGGCACATGGTATAGCACCTGGACAATTTTCTCCTCTCTTGGTCTTTAGTCAGCACCTGTGAAGAAACAGGACAGAAACTGTAGAGTTACTCATATTTGTGCTGTGCTTGCTGTGTCTTCCCCCTGCTATTTTTGCTGAGAGATGATTAGATGGTCTAAATTCCAAGATAAATAGCCACAAGTGCTGACTTCTGCATCCTACCTCCTACCTGCTCTTCTTCCCACCCCCAACACACACACCTATGCATGCACACACACACTTACACACACTCAACTCTAACTCAGGGACTCATGCTCAGCTTAGGAAAGTCAGCTTCCTCTGTCAGTCCCACCAGGACACTGTCTGCCTCTACAAGCTGCTTCAGCCATCCTGAGTTGTTTGGGCCCGTTCATTCTATTACATGTCCTCACGACCCCAGGTGTGTGTCCTTCACTGTGCTTACTACTAAATAATTATGTATGTAATCTCTATGCAATTATTGCCCATCTTTCCCCCAGACTCCATTGGGAGGAGGGTCTGTAATGTCTCTCTCACTTCTGTGCTCATAACACTCTGTATAATGCCTGACACCTGAAATATATTGCTTGAATAAATGGAAAACAGATCTTGAAACCCCACATCTTTTATGGGATCTTCTGGGATTCAGGCTTTTCACATCCCCACCACTATGTAACTCTCTACTCCAAACCCTAACAACGTTACATTTCCCTTTATCATTCTAAGGAAGTAAATGTATACTGCATGTCGTTAATAAACCTAATTCAGGTATCAATTTGAGGTTCATAACGGACGACCTACATAAGTGGGCAACTCAAGCAGATTAATATTTTGGCACTCTATTCAACATTTATTTATTTAAATATTTGTTCAGATTTTTTCTTAGCAGGCAGGCAAAGGACTGCATGAGGATAAGTCGACCAATGGAACAGAACTTCGCCTCTCCTTCTGTCCCTTGCAGGTCGCTTCTGGGCACAAGTGGTACACTCCAGCCAGCAAAAATTTCCTCCAGTTAACTGGAACCACCACTATCAGAAGGAGTGTTAGAGGCCCCCAGCTTTTTCTCCAAGTATTCTCTTTGGAAGTCTCATTGCCCCAGACCCTGCAATTTGCCAAATTATTCTTTGTAATTACACAGAGTACTGTCCCTGAGAGTGCGCCTGCTGAACACAATTTTCCCCATCTTATTCCATTTCCAGAGATGTTTCAGGATCCATTTCAGATTGACGCCTCATCACATGCCCATCTGGCTCACCATTTAATTTGGCTCCTGGGTTCACTATACCAGTTGTTTGGGGACCTTAATAAAGACTGTGGATGTTTGTTAAACATGTTCATACTACTCCCAGAAATCTCAGTCCTGGGAGGACAAAAAATTACCAAACAAGAAAAAGAAAGGTTGGATGTCTTAAGATGTTCTGAACAGCATCTCTTTTGAGGAGAAGCAAGGAGGGACACTGAGTGGGTATTGGATCATTAAGGGTTCCACCAGGTGGGAGAGAAATATGTGTTTATTTTTATTGCAAGGAATTGGCTTATATGACCATGGGAGCTGGCTAGGCAAGTCCGAAATCCATAGGGCAGGCTGTCAGGAAGGGCAGGCTGTCAGGAAGGGCAGGCTGGAAACTGCAGGAGTGAAGGCTGCAGCCCAAGGCAGACTCTCTTCACATAAACCTCAGTTCTGCTCTGAAGGCCTTTCAACCGATTGCACCAGGTATGCCCAGATGATTGAGGATAATCTCCTTTACCAAAAGTTAACTGTAGGTGTTAATCACATCTACAGAATACCTTCACAGGAACACCTAGGTTAGTGTTTGATTGAACCACGGGGTTTAGCCTAGACAAGTTAACACATAAAACTGTTATTCTTCCTGTTACAAAAGCAATTATAGAAAAAAGAACAAAAAAAATGCCTAGAATTCCATCACATACAGACAACCACTATTAACACTTTGCTGTGTTTTAATGAGTGCCTCCCAGTTTTGTTTTTCTGGCAATTTATTTATAATAGCAGGAAAAAATGAAAATAAACTAAATGCTTAACAATAGCTGAATAATGGCTGTGGGAATCATGGTATGTGCATATGAAGCAAAATTATGGAGGCTTTAAAGTTGTAATTATGAAAACTGTATCAACCTGAAAAAATGCTTCAATTAAAAAAAGCACAGGACAAAATTATATCATCACTGTGATCACCACTAGGAGAAAATTGTATAGCATGATAGCATGGACTAGAAGGAAAGAAAAATAATGCAGCCGGGAGGAAGGGATGAATGGCCAGGCACAGAGGGTTTTTAGGGCAATGAAACTTTGTGTCATATGTAACAGTGGATACATGTCATTGTACATTTGTGCAAACCCATGGAGTGTGCACCACCAAGAGTGAACCAGTGTAGTGTAATATATGTAAGTATTCAATGTAAACTATGGACTTTGGGTGATTATGTTGTGTCAGCACTGGGTTACCAGTTGTAATAAATGTCCCACTCTGGTGGGGGATGTTGGTAGTGGGGGAGGCTGTGCACGTGTGCGGCAGGGGACATAGGGGAACTCTCTGTACATCATTCTACTCAATTTGCTGTGAACCAAAAACTTCTCTACAGAATAGTCTATTTTCATAAATAAATGCAGCAAATTTCAGAATCCTCAGCACATATACTGTTCTGTGCTGTGAAGGGACACCTAAGACTGATGGCAGCACCCATGACTCAGTCTGCAGACTTTCTCTGTCCCCTGTAGCTCATTCTGCCCAAGCGAGGGACAAAATAAAATTACTGCAGACTTATATATCCTCCTGGAAGCAACCCTCAACTGTTGAAGGACGCTAAGTGGCTGAGCATATACCAGGTCCCTCAGGCGAGATAGCCTGGGGTTGGTCCCAGAGATCCCTGTTAGCTGAAATGCCAGGTGCCAGGAAGTAGCAACTTGCTCTGATTCACACTCTGCAGGCGTTTTTCCTTCTCGGTCTCACTTTCCTACTTCCCTCACAGCATTTTCCTCATCTCAAACAGATTTACATAAACAGATCTAAACCGCTGTATACACAGTGCACTAACAAATTTACAGTATACCTGTAATTCAAAGTTATCTAACACCTGATATTAAAAGTTCACGGTGGGGGGTGGCTGTTAAAAAATGTCTAAAAAGTTTCTTAGGGGGCTAACTAAAAAAAAAGATTGAGAAACACTGTAAACAGGGGAACACAAACTAAGGCAAATAAAAATACAAACACTTCATGTTAGAATGACTGATCCAACGTGAATTTTGACCTCTAAATTTTTTACCTCAGTTAGTTAGGTTATCTATACAATAAAAATAAAATACTAATTTAAAAAACAGAGAAACAGACATAGGTCTGTCCTTCAAGGCACTTCTGACCAGAGACAAACACCACTGCCAAGAGGACTGGGAGCCCTGCCGACCTCCACCTCCACCTGCTGCTGCTCCCCGAGCCCCACCTTCACCCCTCCTCATTTCAGTCCCCTCTCCTGACCGTCTGGATTCAGAAGTAGAATCAGGGTTTCTTCCATTTTTTGAGCAAGGAAAACAAAAGAAAGCTAAGCGTAATACAAACTCCATCTTTATGAGAGTGAGTTAACTGGGAAGATGCTAGGAGTTCTGGGGAATGGAGAGCATTAAGAATGGAAGAACTGGTCAGGAAACCTCTACTAGCATGTGAGGAAGTGGCCCTTGTCATGCACGGGCTGGTGGAAAGACATCCAGGATCCACCTGAGTCCTCTGTATTTTCATGAGAATGACAGCAGATGAAAGCGGGCACCAGACAACCTTTCAGGTCAGCCCATGTGTCACCTGGGCTCCAGAGGGTAATGGTGGGCTAAGGGCATGCTCAGAGCGTCATGTGCAGAAATTGTTCTAACTGCAGAAAGCTGATACTGTGAAGGGCGAAGGAGAAGTTGAGAACCAACAGGTGGTTATAACCAGCCATGAGTATTTAGCAGCCAAAACAAAGAGATTAGGTCAGTTCTCCATCATTACGCACTAGCACAATGCCCTAAATTATTGAAACTAACCCAAGAAAAATGTTCTGTTACAGTATTTATAAAAATGCTAGTAGAACGGCTCTATTATTATAGCTTATTTTAAAATAAGGTGAACACCACTGTTCTAGCTTTGTTTCTGGGTAAGAAGGGGGCCCAGGGCGCTAACCCAGGCCAGACTGGATCCAGGAAGGGCAGGACTGGCTTGGGGAGGAAGATGCTGCAGAAGGCGTTGGTACTGGTAAGCCTCAGGAGCTGTCAGCACAAAGGCAGATTCTCACATGTCTGGATTGCTTAGGTAGTAGTAACAGACAGATGCTTAAAGTCCCTTTCTTACCCCTCTGATTCAGGGAGCTTATTATCTGATGTAAGTACCCGAAATACTTTCTCCTTGTAAACTAGCCCTTAGAGAAGCTTGTAAAGCTTTTGTGGCACACAGGGTAAAATTCCACTCCTGTTCCAAGTGCACCATTTGTGAAGAATGAGTCACAGTGAGCCTGTCTAACAAATGCTTCAGGATGTGAACCCACCCAAAGATGAAACTGAGGCTCATCTGAAGACATACACTTTTCATAATAAAAATACCCACTCTTTATTGAAAGCTTACTAAGTGCCTCTTTACATTAATTATATCATTTTATCGTCACAACCCGTTGAGGTTGTTGTGAGGTCACTGCTGCCTATTTTACAAATGGGAAAACTGATGATCTGGGAGGTCAAGTAATTTGCTCCAAGATTACATAGCTATCTCTCTCCTCAGAAAGATAGAACAATAGTTTTATTAGAAGTATTACAGCTGATCACTCATAAAGGTGGGTGGGTAAAGATAACAAGAGAGGCCTGGGACCACAGAGGTTTCCTCAGCATGCACTTGAGATGGGAGAGTTCAGAAAATCAACTGATG